GGAAGGAAGGAAGGAAGGAAGGAAGGAAGGAAGGAAGGAAGGAAGGAAGGAAGGAAACAGGCCCAATAATTCTAGGCTTTTTTCCCTCTTAAATTCAAGAACCACCAACTCCCTAAGGAACCTTCAAGGTTCTAGAACAGTTATTTCACAGTGAGTAAAATTCATCAAGAGATAAAATCCAGGCAACAAGTATTTTCAGTTTGCTAACAGAAGGAAATAGTGGAAAATATCTGATAGGATATTCCTTCTTCACTTACAGTTGTTGGTTCAAATCGTTACCTATTCAAAACTTGCATCATATGATTTCAAGAAACCCCCTCCCACCTTTCTCACGTTGCAGCATTTGCAGTATTTGTTGTGTTATACTCATTCATAAGCTGTTCATAAGGCACTGATATCTCCATCTCATTACTGGTAAAAGTAGATCCATCAGAGGATGGAAATTTCATCAGTTTCTGGGGGCTTTGAGGTTCCTCTGCAAGATTGTCATCCACAGAAGACTTTGAAGTTTCCTCATCATCTGAAAGGTCCTCCTCTTCATCCTCATCCTCATTTACAAATGTTATGTTGGCATTTTCAAAAATCAGAGGTCGATAATCCCGCGAATCCCATGCCTCCCCTTCTTCTTCGCTGATCCGGTCCAGCTGATTTACAAACACGTTGCCCTCAATTGGGCTATCCCCAAGACGTTTGTCAGTCAAATGCTTCATAACATGATAGTTTTGCTGTCCAATAGAAACCTTATCATAATCAAACATATTGTTCCTTGTGTACATCACTTTGAGGTCTTTGTTGGTATGTTGTAAGGTTGGGTTGGCTTGCTCTGAATTTAGAATTTTGTCACTGCTTGTTTTTAAAGCCTTCTTTCCAATCTGCTTAATGAGATCATTGTAACTTTCTTCCTTTTTGGAAAGGAAACTGAATATGTTGATATCTTTTGTGTTAGACATCTGAAGAGCTTTTTTGGTGGGAGAGTGATTTTCAAAGGACTCCTTTCTTTTTTTCCTTCGTTTCTTGATTGCTTTGTGAACCTCTACAAACATGCTGACTTTCCAGTTGACAAACAGTGAAAGCCAAGCAAGGCCTAGGTAGATCCACAGCTCCACAAAATATCTATAGAGGGAGTGGTAGTTTATATTTGGATTCACACCTAAAAGGAAAAAAGACAGCATAAGAAATATAAATTCAGTTACCATACATCTGTATGTGTGCAATTGAGACAGAAATTTGTTAACATTACTAAAAACTCAACATTTTCATGGATAGGTTGTACTTATGGAGCACTTATCAGAAGTTTCTGAAAATCTCTGGAAGTCAAGCTCATGCCCTTTTTGTGACTTCAGTAGTCAAATGGTATACTGAGTGAGGCTCAGCTATCAAGCTGAGACCTGACTATTCTGGAAATTACGAAGAAAAGCATTCAAAGTTCGTTAACTAAATGGTTATACAGAGTTAGAGTTTTGATTATTTCAGTATCAAACATACACAAATAATAAATAACATTTTATAATCTAGGCTTATTTATTTGTCAAGTGGCCTACAAGTTTAGACAATGCAAGGGTTTCAGATATCATCTGTCTTAGAGGAAGCAGAACAGCAAATACAGTTAGTTCCATGGTTGTTCCCTGAGCTAATTTTTCATTCTGTCTTTCCCCCTTTTTTTTTTTTTGTCTGAGCCTCTGCATAACACAGAGACCAACGTATTAGTTAATCTTAATTGTCATTACTTGTAATACTGCTTATTCCTATTGGCATATTTTAAAACCACTAAAGACTAACAAACTGCTGAAAACTCACAAAATATTCATGTTAGAAGCTACTCAGATGACAGGCTTATTACTGACCAGCAACGTAGTCTCCAAATCCTATTGTGGTAATGGTGATGAATGAGAAGTAGAGGCCTTCAATATAATCCCATTCCTCAGTCATCATAAAAACGAACGGAGGAAGAACCAAGTGGACTAGTATGCCCCAAATGATGAAGATAGCTGTGCAAGTAATTTGTGCCTTTCTCTGTAATAAATGGAAGAAGAAGGGAAGAAGGATTAATCATACAGTGCCTTTAGCAGATTTTTTCCCCATATTTAGAAAGTCCATCCTATCATATTTCTGATCCACTAGATTGAAATGCTGTCTTGCAGCAACAACAAAATAACTGTAAGCTATACAAAGGAAGTTGCTATTATTTCTGGCTATTTTGTGCAGACAGAAACAAGGCTGAAAATTTCCACTTTACTTCCTGCTTCATGTGTGGGCATGAAGTCCCATATGGTGGATTAACACCATGTCATTTTTGCTTGGTGAAGTGTTTGCATTGATTCCATCCATTCCTACTTCATCAACTATAATAATAAATTATACCAATCCCTTGGGAAATGCCCTTTTCATAGACAGTTTTATAATTTCAAAATGTCCATATAAAGGTTCTTACACACATTTCACTACTGAAAAATGATATACCAGATGCATTTTCCAAAACTGTTACCGTATAAAATATGATCTGTTAAATCAAGGTAATATTCAGGCTTAGAACATAAGCAGTGCCCTGCTGGACTGGACCCAAGGCCCATCTAGTCCAGCAGTCTGTTCTCACAATGGCCAATCAATTGCACAAGGAAGCCTGCTAGTTTCCCAGCAGTTGCCTTTAGACACAGTCACATTGCCATCAGAGCTATAGCTACTGATCCTCATGATTTCTATGAATTGGTCCAACACATTTTTGAAGCTAGCCAAGCTGGTAGTCAGCATCTCATCTCAAAGTTCCAAAGTTCAATTAACATTATGCAAAAAAGTTTTCTTTTGCCTGTCCTGATTCAATTTCACTGGGTGACCGCTGGTTCTTGTACTTTGGGAAGAGGAAAATAGTTTCTCCTTGTCCACTTTATCCACATCTTTCATAATTTTGCACACTTCAATTATGTCCCCTCTCACTCACTTCCTTTCTAGACTAAAAAGCTTCAAATGTCACCTTTCCTCATAGAGAAGCTGCTACAGTCCCTTGATCATCTCAGTTGTCCTCCTCTGGAACCTTCTCTGGCTCCTTTATATCCTTTTTGAGGTCTGGCGACCAGAGCCAGACACAATATTCCAGATGCAGTTGCAACATTGATTTATATAGGAGTATTATGATATTGGCTTGGTGAATGTTGCAGTAAAATCTTAATTGTTAGCCTGTTCTGGTATACCATCAACTTTCTTTTTAGCCAAGGAAGTTATAACTAGCACCAAGGAACAGGAAACGAAGAACTGACATAGCAGAAAAGCAGAGGTTGGACAAGATGACCAGAACATAAATACACTGTCTGGTTGAGTAAGCGGAATCCTCAAATCTAGGGAATTTAAAGGAGAAGAGAAAAATGGAAATCCTCTGAAACCACATGGCTGCAACACAAGAGCAAGGAAATGGCACACAATTTAAGCAAATTTGTTTTAGACAGTATTCTACCTTCTTACATTATAGACCATGCTACTCATCAAATTACTTGCTATACAACAGCTACTACAGAAAATGTAGTGGCAGTTCTGGCCCAAATAATCCAAAATTATGAAGAATTTTGTGTTTAACATAAATTATAGCTATTTTAGTTT